TGTTCGCATTGTTTCTTTTTTGCTTAAATTTGCCTCTGAATTATTTTCTTCAAATTGTAATTTTCTTATGATTATCCGCTTCAGAGCATAATTTTCGTTTCCTGTTTATTTCCTCGTAATGATCAAAATGATCACGTAAAAAATCAAAGTTCTCAACTAAAAATGACAAAAGACGAGCATTTGTGCTTAAATCCATATTTTGTTTTTGGACTGCTTTATTGGTTTCATTAACCCTTTGCAAAACGTCTATCCAAAAAGTTAAAATTATTCCGTTTCCATGCAATAAATCAAGTTTTTCTGATGGAGAAGCTGCTTCAACTCTAACAACATTTTTCTCATTTGTATCCGTTGTATCCGCCGACGCAGTGTCGCAATATTTTTTTTTCTAAATTCTAACGATTAAGTAGTTTTTTTTTAAATTATGGGCGGTACGCGGTACCGCCCGGTGCAATAGTCCCCAAAAAACCCCTGTTAAACCGGCACTGGATGGTTGACGTCCCCAAAGAGTTGTGTAGATGTCGTCAACATGAAGACATAATATGTATATTATACACAACTCGTTGGGGGAAAATAATATCGTTTGCGTCAAAGGTCTATAAATAAATAAGTAATATCCGAGACATGTCCATAAAATAAATTAATATTTTTGATAACCTATAATATATTATACAGTTATAGTAGATTAAATAGCGTGTTATAGTTAAAACAACTACGTACTTGGTATCTTATTAATATTAAAACGAAAGCTTTTTAAGTTATTTTTAGCTTTAGACTGTTTTAAGTCGAATATTTTATTTAGTATTTGCTGTTTTTTACTTGTTACCGTGTTTTGAAATGTTTCTTGGGAAACATTATTTTGGAATAAAGTAAGGAATGTATAATTAAAACAATATGTAATATTTTTGCGTGTTATTGAATTTTTAGTATTTTAGCCTAGAATTATTTTTTTTAAATATCCTAGAAAATTATAACAAGGTTTTAGGTCCTATATTGGGTACAGAAAATATAATTTTATTAAAATAAAACATTTTCTTCTGGATTCTGCCATTTAAGTGAGTGAAAAGTACCTAGCTAGTTTTTATAATTTTCCTAATTTGTTAAAATATTAATTAATAAATTACAGATTTTCCGAGTTTAAAAGTATCATCAGTTCTTTTTGCGTTGTTTAAATTGTTAAGTTGTTTACTGTTAACAATTGTTTACTTTCATTTTATTTATTTTTAACGTTTATAAATATTGTTATGTATCATGCTTTATATGTTGGTAGATATAATTTTCTGGTTTGTGGTTCCTGTCTTTTGTTTGTTATAATGGCGTAAGCCAAAAATAACTATTATATACCGGGTGCAACTAGTACCCCTCCATGTAGGGGTATATTTTTTATTTGAAGAGCTACAAGATCAGTTAAATTACAGAAAATTACAATTACAAATTACAAGTCTATTAAAATAAGCGGTTCTCAAATAATTTAAAATAAACTGCAAACATGTCAAAACCAAAAAACGTAATAACTTCGTTATTCCTGGGAATTTTTAAAAAAGTAAGTCACTTACATATATAGACATTTATCCACATTTTCATCCAATTGGTAGTTTTTTTGGCTACTAGATTTTCAGTTACCACCACCATCTTTTGTTTACCCTATGGCCGCCATATTAGAATTTTACATGGTTAGATAAAAACATAGAATCCAACGATATATCAAACTTACTTCAAAATTAATGGTTGCCATTATATAAACAAAAGATGGTGATGTAAAACTTTCAAAATTCACAGGAATAAGTTATAATGATTTTTGGTTTAGACAGGTTTTTAGTTTTTTCGAGAACCGCTATTTTTTTAAAATTTTCAAATTTATGAGCTAATAACGCAGATTTTCTGATATTACCGACCTCGTAGCTCTTCAAATACACGGTGTACAGTATACACTGTGTAATACACAGTGTGTATGTATACATAGGTATACCTATATGTAACCAGGCAAGCATAATTTTTTAAATTCTATAATTCAGTGTACACCTATACGAGCCCTAACACAAAAATGTTCGGACACTTCATAATTTATACAGAAATATTTTTCGTGAATACTATCTCAAAATTATTAGAAGTTATGAAAAATTCAGCTCATTTTAGCATATATCCCTCGAAGCGATTTTTATTTTTAAAAAGTTTACCTTTTATTTTTAGCTTTTAAAAAAAGGCTAACTTTTAAACTTTTTTTGTATGAGTAAAAAAAGTTATAAATGGGCCCATTAAAAAGAACATAAAATATTATACAAACCCTGAAAATTTGGTAAAAAATAAATTAGTTTTAAAAAAGTATAAGTAATTTAAAAATGCTATTTTTAAAGAGTTTTTGCAATTTTCTTAGGAAACGGGAGATTTTGCAGATATATATATATCGTTATAACTTTCTTATTATTTATACAATTTTTACCAAATTTTCAGGGTTTGTATAATATTTTATGTTCTTTTTAATGGGCCCATTTATAACTTTTTTACTCATACAAAAAAAAGTTAAAAAGTTAGCCTTTTCTTAAAAGCTAAAAATAAAAGGTAAACTTTTTAAAAATAAAAATTTCTTCGAGGGGTATATACCAAAATAAGCTGAATTTTTCATAACTTCTAATAATTTTGAGATAGTATTCACGAAAAATATTTCTGTATAAATTATGAAGTGTCCGAACATTTTTGTGTTAGGGCTCGTACAATAGTATACATATTATTATTTGAGAATCGAAAGAAAACAACACATAAAAAATGGAGCCTAGTTCATTAAAAGATAGTACAAGGCACATTTTAGTTGGTAGCCTAGGTATATAACTTAACTAAAAACAAAGTCATACAACAACTTTAAACATGATTATCTCGAAACTAAACAAACTGCACAAGTTCAAGGGTTCTAGGGCCCTCATTTGTATTATATTGTACTACCTATAAACTAATAAAATTACTTTCTGTAGGATATCCTTATATCTTACTCCCTGGAAAGTTTTTGCTAAAATTGTAGTAATGTTATTGCAGGGAATAAATATTGCTCATAAATATAACTACAATTTTTCATAAAAAAGGGCCCAACCCCAGTCTGCTTTGTAATCTGCTTTGCTATCCAAAAAAATAAAGTTTCCAACCCTTAAATCTAATTTTATCTATTTTTCGTTCATAATGGCTTCATTATAACACCGCTTTCTGTGCTGTAATGAGATACTTTATCCCACCCAAAATTTTGATTTTATAGGTTGCATACAGAGCTGGGCACAAATACTAAAAAAAGTATTCGTTAAATTTTAAGTACGAGTACATTTGTAAAGAGAGGTTACGGTTACGAGTAGTAATAGTGAAAACACGAGTAAAGAGTACGAGTACTTTAAAAAAAATGTTAGTTAATATAATTTATTATTATTTATATTATACAAACTTTGGTCCTAAAGCTATACAACTACAAATACAAATTTGCAAAATTATTTATTTTATACATTAGGTATAGGGTGATCCCCTATAATGTCGCCCCCTTTAACTTTTTTATTTTAAGTGTCCCAAAAAATTTAATAGTGTGGTTAGGTAGGTACTAAAAATTCTTTTTTCCACTTCCACAAAAATTGGAAAATTGATGAGCGTACAGGAAAAAACAAAAAGTTTATTTTTTCTCAATGGATAGGTATATATATATATATATATATATATATATATATATATATAAATAAATTACAACTATTATGCTTAAAATTTTACAAGGAATCGAAAAATAAATTCATTTTCCATTTTTTTAAGTAGAAAAAAAGTATTTTTTAGTACCTACATAACCACACTTTAAAAATTTTTGGGACACTTAAAATAAAAAATATATTGGGGGACATTATAGGGGATCACCCTGTACATAAAATAATAAATAAAAATAACAATTTTTAAATAGTTTATAATTTTACCTATAGGCTATAATATATTATATTATACTACATATATATTATATAATTTAAAACAGACTTCCAAACAAAATGTTTCGATGCTTACGATATTTCGATATAATAAACGGAAATACTCGTATATATTACTCGTGAATTCCTCGAGTATTTTTTACGAGTACATTGAATTTGGTTTGTAAGTACGAGTAATAAGTATTTCAAATGAAAAATACTTATGAGTAAAAAAGTACTCGTACTTTTTTACTCGTAATTGAAATACGAGTAAAAGTACTCAGTACTTGGCCAGGTCTGGTTATGATATTTTTATGATTTTTTTAGTACTTTTCGGGCAATAAAATTTGTTTAACACGAAATCTATATCTATACGGTTTTTTGAGTACAGGGGATAGACGCAGGATGAATTGTTCTAGTAGAAAATGCCGTAAACCAAAAATCGCAAAATTGTTGGTTACGGCGTTTTCATTAAGCACGGCAGTATGCGTAACTACAAATTTTATTTTGTCGTAAAAATAATTTCTACGTCATTAGCTGTACTGAGGGAAAACTTCTTATTGTATAATATTTTATAAAATCGTATAAAATTTTGTAGAATTTCACAGAAATAAAAAGATTATGTACAATAAAATCTCATATTTTAAAAAATAAACAATTCATTTTCATAAAAATAATTATAATTTTGCAGTCAAAGTAAAAAAATCGAAAATATTACTATAAGTTTAACTTTAACCTTAAATAACTTTTAAATCAGTGAATTTATGAAAAAATCATAAGAAAGCTTTTTTGTATAGCGTTCAATTTCCTATAAAAATATGTGTCTCTTATTGCTGTATATTAACTTGCTCGGGAGAAAAAAAATTAAATGTAAAACTTGCCAAAACCCCATGTTATTTAAATGGAAAATGTATCGTATCTTTGTGGCACGGTTTAATATGAATTTTTTTTATATAATTTTTTAATAATTTTTTTAGGTCATAAACTAAAAATTTAGGGGGCGCTGCGAACAAAAAAAACAAATTGGTAAATAACGGACACCCTATTTAATATACTAAATAGTATATTACAATATTAGACACTAACCTGTGAGTACACATCCCACAAGTAGAAAAAGAAATCCAAATATAGGCAATATGATTTGGCAATTGGCGGCGATCACGACCCCGGCCACCATTAGGCCTCCCTCTATCTTCTCCACCCGAAGGCGGGATATTGGGGCCGGGCACCGCAGCTTGCCGATATCTGAGATCCCGCCGCCACTGACTGTGTTATTGCCGCCCCCAGACGACACCTCGTTGGGCCTGAAATAAAATAGATTTTTAATTTAAAAATATGCTCACTTAACATAAAAAATTAAATAGGTACCACAAAACTATCCAAATATTATGCAAATATTAGAATCATGGATAAAAGTGTTGGTTCGGTGTAGGGAGGAAAGTATGTCATTAATAATTATATTATTATTATTAACAACTCAACGAAAAAATAGTTACTAAGGGCCGTATGCAGAAACGTTGATTTATTTATATCAACTGATTTACGCATATACACTGATTTCAGTTTGAACCAATTTGGCAACATATAATTGACAAATACTTGGTTTGGAGAGGATTGCCGCAATATAAGACATACACAATTTGGTTATGTTTGCAGTTTGCAATGTTTTAAGGTATAAGGAAATTTGCATTAGAAGCGCAGAGGATTAGAAGGTATGAAAAACGAAAATTACCGCCTAAAGCCTCTGAAAAGAACAAAGAAATTTTGTTGAAGTTGGTGGAAATTTTATTCAAGTGTTTGTTCTTGTAAAAGATGAATTAATTATAGATATTATAATAATGATAATTATATTATAGTTATAGCAGTGGTGGCTGGTGGATTGTGGATATACCAATATTTCAGTTATTAGACATGGGAGCCACACCAAATTTATAATAGTTTATAATGACATTAAATCTTAGAATCATTAAATAGACAAGTTCAGCGAAAATAGAACTTAAATTGAAGTTTGCGAAAAAAAGTTAGTTTTTCCTGTTGCCTCACCCGCCTCCAGGCCCCCTATTTGAGATAATTCAAATTAAAGTGGTGCAATTTATTATCTACTATAATTTATCGACAAATTTAAAATTTTATTTAAAAAATCCAAATATTACAGGTTTTATACGATTTTAAATATTTTTTTATTTCAATAAAATAAATAATAAAAATTTAAAATTGAATAAAATCTGTAATATTTGGATTTTTTAAATAAAATTTTAAATTTGTCGATAAATTATAGTAGATAATAAATTGCACCACTTTAATTTGAATTATCTCAAATAGAGGGCCTGGAGGCGGGTGAGGCAACAGGAAAAACTAACTTTTTTTCGCAAACTTTAATTTAAATTCTGTTTGCGCCGAACTGGTTTATTTAATATTTAAAACAATTGTTTTTACCTACAGGGTTTATATTTTATTTTCTTATAAAATGCCTTTTAAACTTGTATTTCCTACTGGCAAAAACTGTTAATATTATAATATGTATATTCAATTTGAAATAGCTATGTTTTTGTCCCTAAATTTCATTTTTTTTATGTTTAATAGTACCTACCTATGTATATTTCTGAGCCGAAAAATAAATAGAGTGTAAATTTCTATTTGAAGAGCAAGCACAGAATTTAAAAATTTAAAAGAAAAAATAAGTTGAACATGGTCTAAAATTTAAAATTCTGGTTTTCTCTTATAGTCCAAGATCCCAGGGCCGCCAGACCTACGTCATTTTAATACTGCTGAGATTTTTTTAATAAATGCCCTAATATGTAGTTAAAAACGTATGGGTACTTGCTAGCTTGAAAGCGGGGCCCTTTTACAGATAACGGGCACTAAAGGTACATAAAAAAGGTACCTGTCTACGTTAAAGTAATACCGCTGCTTTTCATATATGTTTTACACATTGTTATTAAAAACCAACATTCATTATTGCCAGACGCTTTCCAGGGGACCTAACTTCCGCCAGACGCTTTAAAGCTCAAGAAAAAAGGGCTGAACCTACGTTATAGTAGTACTCCTGAATTTTACATATATTTTTTGAGTGATTATTTTAAGACCTTTTGTAAGCAGCCAGACCAATCCGAGGGGCCCAAGCCCCCCCCAGACGCTTTAAAGGTCAAGAAAAAAGGGGGGAACCTACGTTATAGTAGTACTCCTGAATTTTACATATTTTATTTGGTTGACTATTTTAAGACCTTTTATAAGCAGCCAGACCAATCCGAGGGGCCCAAGCCCCCCCCAGACGCTTTAAAGGTCAAGAAAAAAGGGGGAACCTACGTTATAGTAGTACTCCTGAATTTTATATATATTATTTGAGTGACTATTTTCTGATCTTTTGTAAGCAGCCAGATCAATCCGAAGGGCCTAAGCCCCCCCAGACGCTTTAAAGCTCAATAAAAAATGGAAAAATCTACGTTATAGTAGTACTTTTGAGTTTTACATATTTTATTTGGGTGATTATATTAACACCTTTTATAAGCAGCCAGACCAATCCGAAGGTCCCAAGCCCCCCCCTGGCGGTTTAAAGGCCAAGAAAAAATGGGAGAACCTACGTTATAGTAAAACTTCTAAATTTTACATATATTATTTGAGGGACTTTAAGCCGTCGGTCCGTTCCTACCCCTAACCTGCACAAGCCATTCAGTTGGCTTATGGGACATCTTAGTTTGGATGTAAGGGTGGAACTAAACTAAACTTTATAACTTTATAACTATTTTATGATCTTTTGTAAGCAGCCAGACCAATCCGAAGGGCCTAAGCCCCCTGAATATTTTATAAATTATTATTATATATTTATTATTATATATTTTAAGACTTTTTGTAACTACCCAGACCATTCCAAAGGGCCTAACCACGCCCAGACACGATAAAAGGTACGCTGTGAGTACGAGAGCAAGGCATGCATGTGAGTGCGAGTGATAGTATTAGATGGCTTTATTAGACAGCTTCATGAAATTTAAGTTGTGTATTTATCTTTATGGAATTTTTTAATAATGATTAATTAATATTTAAATTCTTGTTATAAAATTAGTTTTAATTAAATTATTCAAAATTTCAAAAAATTTCAAAATTTCAAAGATTTTCAAAATTTTCAGGATATCCAAAATTTTGAAAATTTCAATTTTTTTAAATATTTTCCAAAATTTTCACAATTCCCACACTAAACTTTTACCAACCAGGATAAACAATGGCACTTAACGGTGTTAAAATAGCCACCCAAATAATATATATACATAATACAATATTACAGCCTATGATCTTATAAGGTATACTTTTTATCGTGTCTGAGGGGGGTTAAGCCCTTCGTATTAATCTGGCTGCTTATAAAAAGTCCTAAAATAGTCACCCAAATAATTTATATATAAAATTCAGGAGTACTACTATAACGTAGGTTCCCCCCTTTTTCCTTGACCTTTAAAGCGTCTGGGGGGCTTGGGCCCCTCGGATGAGTCTGGCTGCTTATAAAAGGTCTTAAAATAGTCAACAAAATAAAATATGGAAAATTCAGGAGTACTAATATAACGTAGGTTCCCCCCTTTTTCCTTGACCTTTAAAGCGTCTGGGGGGGCTTGGGCCCCTTGGATGAGTCTGGCTGCTTATAAAAGGTCTTAAAATAGTCAACAAAATAAACTATGTAAAATTCAGGAGTACTACAAAAACGTAGGTTCCCCCATTTTTTCTTGACCTTTAAAAGGTCTGGGGGGGGCTTGGGCCCGTCGGATTGGTCTGGTTGCTTATAAGTCTTAAAATAGTCACCCAAATAAAAAAAGTTAAATTCAGGATTAGTACTATAACGTAGGTTCCTCTGTTTTTTCTCGAGCTTTAAAGCGTCTGGGGGGCTTAGGCCCTTGGATTGGTCTGGCTGATTACAAAAGATCTTAAAATAGCCAATTAAATAGTATATATAAAATTTAGGAGTACTACTATAACGAAGGTTCCCCCATTTTTTCTTGACCTTTAAAGCGTCTGGGGGGGCTTGGGCCCCTCGGATTGGTCTGGCTGCTTATAAAAGGTCTTAAAATAGTCACCCAAATAAAATATGTAAAATGCAGGAGTACTACTATAACGTAGGTTCCCCCTTTTTCCTTGACCTTTAAAGCGTCTGGGGGGGGGCTTGGGCCCCTCGGATTGGTCTGGCTGCTTATAAAAGGTCTTAAAATAGTCAACCAAATAAAATATGTAAAATTCAGGAGTACTACTATAACGTAGGTTTCCCCCTTTTTTCTTAACCTTTAAAGCGTCTGGAGGGGGCTTGGGCCCCTCGGATTGGTCTGGCTGCTTACAAAAGGTCTTAAAATAATCACTCAAAAAACATATGTAAAATTCAGGAGTACTACTATAACGTAGGTTCAGCCCTTTTTTCTTGAGCTTTAAAGCGTCTGGCGGAAGTTAGGTCCCCTGGAATGCGTCTGGCAATAATAAATGTTGGTTTTTAATAACAATGTGTAAAACATATATGAAAACCAGCGGTATTACTTTAACGTAGACAGGTACCTTTTTTATGTACCTTTAGTGCCCGTTATCTGTAAAAGGGCCCCGCTTTCAAGCTAGCAAGTACCCATACGTTTTTAACTACATATTAAGACATTTATTAAAAAAATCTCAGCAGTATTAAAATGACGTAGGTCTGGCAGCTCTGGGATCTTACTCTATTATAATCCTTATTATTTATTAAATAGTATTTTTTAATTATCTAGGTATTTATTATATTAATTAATATTTTTAAAAAGTAAACATTTATGGAAGGTATGTATGTTTTTAATAATAAAAAAATAATCAATAAATATTTTCACCCAATTTCAATGTTGGGGGAATTAATTTACCATGAAACCAAAGAAAGTTATAAATCAATTGATTTTAAAGCATTCAGCTTTTCAATCAGACAAAAAAACAGCAAAGATATTTAATATAATTAACATGGTAGTAATTTTATCTTTAAAAAAATGTTACAAACAAAAATACTGTCTATTTTTATGCATATTTTAAATCAGTCGTTAAAGACTGATATAAATTATATCAATCAATTTACATTTTAGATGATTTTATTGGCCAAAAAACAAATCTAGTAAACCATGACTTATTCTAGCGAAATTATTTTCTATGGTTAAAAGCAAAGGCCACAAATGTCAAATAAATCTTGATGAAATTTTAATTGTTTTATGTCTAATTTAAAATGTCAATTTATAGAAATCGACTTTTTTAGGGAAAATATAAACGTTGAAAGGTAATTACCCAATTTATTTTATAAACAACAGTTTTTAAAGAAAATTACTAC